GGTTTGTTGAACCAGCTCTGCACATTTAGACTCTTAATATCAAGGTGGTTTGTCTTTATGATTAAAAGTGCAATCTTTATAATAAAAAATATTACAAAATGAATCTGGTGTGGGATGTTGGTGGTGGTTTGGGAGACGTTTGCTCTCGCCTCAGCCTTTTCACATTTTGTCTTCCTCTTCGAGCAAACCAAAGTCCCGTGAGTATATCTTTCCCCATCATAGTGAGATCGGCCTTAAGCATCCCTCTCAAAGAAGCCATTTCCCATTTGAACATATCGAATCCACTTCAGCGAGAGGGGGAGAGGAGCACGGTGCCAGCTTCACTTCAACACCGCCAAGCTCCTCAGTCTACAATCTACTCAGACTTTGACGTATGTGTGACACAGGCTGTTGTAGCTCTTCATGTCTAACGGAGGGATCGAATGTATTGTTCACAGAACGTGAAGAAAATGTATTTAGATTTGAAGTTGGACTTAATGACCAGTCCAACAGATTATTGGCATTGCTGCTTGTGAGCAATGAATGAAACCTGACAGGCACTATTTAATTGACCTTAGCGTTATGACAGTATCACCAAAACTTCTGTCACTATGACCTTTATAATGTTGGAGTTTGTCATCTCCTCATTAAGGATGTCGCTGATTTTTGATAAGTGTCCCAAACACCCCAGATTCCCTCTCATAAACACCCAAATATACAGAATTGGAATCTATAAGTCACTTTATCTTTAAATATCAACCTCCAACCCCTTCAACCTTTTCCACTTTTGAGCTGGGCTTGCAGAAACAGTCCCATCCTCAGTATCAGCGAGGGACTGGCTGTAGTGGATGGACCCCGTCCAGCTGTTAAACTGTCCCCGTGGTTCTTCGCCAAATTATTTGGCTCTCCTTGCGACGGCATTGAATCTGGGCAAAGATTATTAACCAAATGTTTTATCTCCCCACGAGCTAATTTCACATCATCTGCCCTCAGTGGCTTATTTACAAGGTTTGATGTTTAGCTTTGGCGAGTCAGCACTTCCTGCGCGTGAATGCGAGATTATTCTTGGAATAAACTTGTCTGTGAGGTAAATGCTGTCAACCGCTCCTTTTAGCCTCCATATTTGAACTGAAAGTCTGCTGTAGAGTCTGCATCTTATAAAGAGAAGAATTAGAGTGTGTGGTTCCAAATCGTAGCCCATTTCCTGCTGTGCAGCTGGTACGCTGCACCACATGACTCCAACCCTGGAAATCACCCCACCCCCATGAGAACAAGGTTTTGCACCAGTGTTCATTGATTCAAAGCGCGGCCCTCAAATTGTGCCGGGAGCCTGCACTACATTCATTTCGAGCAATCCATTAGTCTTTCTTCTGATAATTATGTTTTCCAACTACAATAACCTTTGCTCATTATTAAGACAAATGTGATCTTTTAATCCTGAGAAAATAGTTTGAATAATGGAAAAAAAAGATATGACGCCACACACTGATCAATCGCAGCATTAAAATCAGATTCCTGTTTAATGTTGAGAGCTTAAGTTACCACAATGACTTGTATTTGCTCATTATTCCTCTTTATCACCTGCTGTTTGTTCCCTTTTATATCCCAATAAATTATGGTTTAATGTGTGATGATGTTCAGATGTGAAACACAGCGCAGACGAGCAGAAAATCCGGCGTGAGATGAGACCATTTTCATGGCAGCACAAAATAGAGTGATCACATACGAATAGAAATGGCTTCTAGAAAGACGCAGTTTGCTCTCATCATGTGGCCATAGGAATGTTAATGTTGTCACTGCAGGAGTGTTCTCAGACGACAGTGATGCCTCAGGTGGTGGAAATCACTGAGCCTCTCGGTCAACTGCAGGACTGATTTCCGTGGTACAGCAGCACATGCTAAATCCCTTTCTAACCTGCAAGATGGATATGTGTATCCTTTATTCCACCCCAACGATCAATATGCAAGGTATGAGCATGTAATCGAGGGGCGTTGTTGTTCCACATCGGAGGTAGTCACGGAGACAAATCGATGTTTTCGTAAAAAGGGACAGATGGAATGATGGGACGGTGTCACATGTTACACCTCTGATCCCAAAATTGTGTCAGCGTGTTTGGTTTAGTGTTTCAGTCAAGCAAAGACAGGATATTTAAAGTGTTGTCCTAATGGCAATAATGTATAGCTAAGGTGTAGCCTATAAATCCATCAGTCTCTGTGTTTGTGTCTGTAGTAAATTGGCTTATGTGGTGTCCATCAACAACCAAAACAAAATAATCCAAATAACGTCTCCACGTCTTTACAGTTTTCCCTGGTCTGGAGCAAATTATTTATGTGCTTCTTTTAATAGTCAGTAATTTTTTATGATATGCTTCCAAAATCATCTGTGCTCATATAACAATTTTTTGTGGTCCTCTCCTGCAAAGATTGGTCGGTGGACAAAATCTCCAAGGGCCAATATAAAATCATACAATAATATACAGCGGAATTCCAAATGCAAATACACACATTGCTTAATTTAGTCCAATACTCCAATAAAATCCCATCCTACATTTCAAACACTCATCACAATGTGCCAATGAGACAATTCAGATTCAGAAAGATTTTATGGGGACCGCTGTAGTGAAGTAATTTATTTAAATAACTTCATTAATCATTAATTTGCTGAAGCATTGCTTGGAGTCAATACTGCATTTTCTAAAATGGTCAATATTAAGTGCTGAGAAGGTTAATGATCACAAGCACACATGCATACTGTATAAACACCCATCATTTAGAGTGACCAATAAGAACTGGTATTTTCTTTAGATATGTTTTTCACTGACACTTTTTTTATACATCTTTTTATATATATATACATATTCACTCCCCATCTTTTCAGAATATCATTACAAATCCTCCTTCTTAATCAGATTGCAATTCTTTTATTTTGACAGCCGAACTCAAATTAGTCTTATATAATTAGCAGGCATGTTAAGTACACTGACATATTTTGTCAATGCCACTGACTGATGGAAGGGGAAGGAGGCAAATGCAGTATTCTTAGTTGATGGAAGAAAAGTCATTACAATCAGTCTTAACTGATTATACTTCACATATGGCCGGAAAATTATAGTTAGTTACAAGTAGAAACATTCAAGTCATCCCAGATTTTTCCAAATAGTTGAAGCAGCGTTTTAATATTAAAATACTGAATGAATTTAAGGTGTCATAAGAAACTGACACAATAATTTTAACCATGAAAAAAGATAAGAAAATAAATCACCCTTTAAGAATGCCTTTGTGATCACTTTTAACTTTTTGCAATCGAGGAGTTCATCATCTATTTAACAGGAAAAGATTAAGCCCATTAAATTCTCTCTGCTCTTTTATGATGTGTTATTGTCTAATAAACCGTGAAAAGGGTGAAGAATTATTTTTTTTGCATACACCAGCACTTGATAGTGTGCGGTTATGTGTGCTCCGCGGCCAGGGGCCAAAGTTCTTAAATGCAATTACAGATGAAAATCATTTCCTTATCAGTAACACAGACATAATTTCACTGCCAAGTTCATAATAATATGCACAGTCGTTTTAATGATCTGTTTGAAATCTCTTTAACCATGATGTGATGTTAAATATTCTGTTTTCTTTCAGTGTAATGGACTTTTTTTTATTGCAAAATAGCTGCAAATATATAGGAAATCTTGTAATGCTCTTACAGTATGTTAGAATATCAGTCATTGTATTTGCAGCCTAGAGTTACATTTAAAATGCCCAATCTATGCACGGCATTTTTTATAATTTGGGCTCTTAAGATCTTTTTTTAGTAGATGTGTTTCTACAGATCTTGCACCGTTGCTGATCTGAGTGCAGTTTTTTAGATGCATTCTCTCTTTCATTATACACTAGGTCACGCTTTGTATTATTGTGCCATTGTGTAATGCTAAGGGCGACATTACAGTTGTGTTATCCATCTCCGGTAGCTTAAGTGGAACCAAAGTGAAGTCTCATTTTGCGTCTGATGACAAAAAAGGAAACATTTTGTCGCACTTTATTCTTTAACAATTCATGAAGTTCTGATTCAATGGGTGAAAGTTGAAAATCTATCTCTTTTTTTTTCAATTATTAACCATAATGTGGTGTCCTTTCAGTGCAGTAGACTTCTTGCTGCACAATATCTGGAAATAAGTAGTAAATGATAGTAGTACTATTATAATATGTTAGAATATCTGTCATTAGTTATTGTATTTTATGCCTGAGTAAAATTTAAATTGCCCAATCCATGCATCATTTGTCCCTTTTATTTTATTTATTTGCAAAGGCCATGAATCTGGGCTTGTTAAGATCTGTTTTTAGAAGATGTTTCTCCAGATTGATGATCTATGTGTAGTTGAAAAAAAGAAATAATTCTGTCTTTTATTATACACTGGGTCATGCTTTGTATTATAGAGCCATTGTGTAATGCTAAGTGAAGTTTCATTTTGTGTTTGATGAAAAAATGGCAACATTTTGTTCCACAATGTTTTTCATGAAGAGGCGAGTCAATAGTTGAAAGTTTCCTGCAGCAGTAATTGACACCACTGGGTTAGGGGAGGTGGTGTTCTCCCACATTAATGGCTGGGTGTCATAACATATCATGAAGCAGCCTTCTAACCTTGTCAGAATTTATCATGACACCAATTATATTTAAAAAAAAAAAAAAGAAGAAGGAGACAGCCACACGGCTCTGGATGTACTTCATGCTCATCTGCAAAAGGGTAACAGTCTTGTATGGAGGAGTACAATCTGTGTGGTGTTCTTAAAAAAAAACAAAAAAAAAAAAAAAAAACCCAGGGGAGGCGAAATCTGAGAAAGTGCAGAAAATAATACAAATCATGTCACAGCAAAGTGACAGTGACAAGGGCAGTATCTTATTTGTTCAGTACAACACAATTAACCTAACACTGTGGCATTTTCTTGTTCTGCTAAAATAGACTTTGTCATGTAACAGCTCTCTTTTCTGTGTCTCCCTCCCTCCCTCCTTCTTCTCTTCTCTCCCATCAGGTCTCCAAATAATGGAGCGAGAATGAACAGAGAGCGGCTTAAAAAAAAGCATGAACTGGAGGTTTATTGAGGTCATCTGCTTCCTGTTTATATGGGACCATATAACAGTTCAGTCTTCCCGCCAGGACCCATTGGCCACTGAGCAACATGTCACCAAGCAATATGACTGGCTCATCTCTGACCGCGGACCTTTCCACCACTCTCGAAGTTATCTGTCCTTTGTGGAAAGATTCCGCCAAGGATTTACGACCAGATATAAAATTTATAGGTGAGTTCACTTTCAGCCTGTGTACTGATGCCACACAGGCTTTTTAAGAGACTGTCTTTTTAACAGCTTTTCTATTTTCACATTTTAGCTGCAAAAAGCAACACTGTGTACATTTTGAATATATTAAGTATGCATTTTTAATATACATCTACAGCCACTCTCAGCGCTGCAAAGTACTTTCTGCTCCCTGCACTCCTTTACTCACGTTCCAAGTCTTTAGACTGTATATAAAGATGGATGACACGTCTCTAATTTATCCCACTATCCAGAAATGACACCAAAATATATTTGACTTGAATGCAGCCACCCTGCACCGATGACATCATTAGCGCTGCCATGGTCCCCCTGATAACATTCATTCAACTTATCACGAGTCAGTCTCCGCTGTCAATTATGACGGTTCCCCTCATTTTTAGAACTACCTAAAATGACAAACATCATCTGCCAGAACAATTACTGGATTTTGATTATTTAGTTTGTTCTACTAACATGGAGGAGGGAGAATTTATGACCTGTCCTGACAGCCACCAGTGGGCGCTTGGGAGGCGATGGCTTCACTTTATGTGGAGCCATCATGTCATCCATCTTTATATACAGTCTATGATTCCCTCAAACTGAATGACGTGCAATAAAAAAATAGTGGGAAGAGTAAGAATAAGTAATAAAACTGCAGGATGTTATTGCACGGATGCACATTCATATTAAACTGCCAGTCAGTAACATGTACGTTGCAGAGAACGCCTCTGTAGAAATATAGCATTGTCAGGTGCAGTGTGCCTGAGTGAGAAGTGCTGCCTCACTTTTATTAATTTCTACAAATCTGCTCAAATAAAGGGGGGTGGGGGGGACTTGGATAAAAGGGGGACAGATTTCAAAAGAGGAAAAATGGTACAGCAGAGACAGAGATATCCTGACCTTTATTCTGTTGTACGGGTCAAGACCCAAAAATGCTGGATTCTGCACTTCACATAATTCAGTCTGATTGCGTTTTTCATTAGATTCTCCCAGTCTGGGATGCTGCATGACCTTCAAAGTGCAATATAGTGCCCCAGATGATAACACAGCTTTTCTCCTATAAATCCATTAATGACATCACCAAGATCACGATTTACCTTTTAGATTATATATGAACCAAATACCAATAAATTCAACATATGTTTTCACAGATGTAATATTCTTCTTTGTTTGGTTGCAGCCAAGGTCAGGGTGCATTACCACCATCTACTGTGATGGTGCACCCATCCTGGAGGTTCTGCATTAATATATTCTGATATGTGATACTAAATAATATTTAGTGGCTGCAGAAAACACATTTGATCTTCGTATTGACAAAGTACATATGGCGTGTTTTGGCACATTGTATGACACATTAAAAGATACAACTTCACACCAAAGTTATTTCAAGCCTAAAATGTATAAAGCCATGTTGAATCTGCAATCTATTGTTATTAGGGAGTCATTTAATTTAATTAAACCCTGCTTTCGAATTTCAGACACATCAAAATATATGACAACAAGAGGTTTTCAATATTTCATGCCAACCTAAGTCTTATATTATGGCTATTACAGATTGAATCATTGATTATGGGGTATGGATGAACGTATGGGATGTTCTTTATGCGTCCCAATCTGGGAAATTCTGTCAATACTCAACTTCCATGTTTTCTTCCTTCCTTGTGACCAACTAATACTGTTTGACATTCAATAACTATATTAGGTTTTATATTTTCCAACTGACATTTTTCCCTCTTATCGCACATCTCCTCATATTTCACATACGGAGTCACATGTAAAGAAATATAAAGGCTAGACGCCCTCTTTCTTACACTGAAGTGCTTTGATTCCTTTGCATCCCTCCGCAGTCTGCTCACCCACAACTGAACAAAGACTGAGAAGGAGTCATTCGCCACATTCTTTTGGCAGTTCTCTCACCGAGTTTGTTCTCTTCCTCCCCCCCGTCTCTCTTGGTAACTTGCCACAGCCCCCCAGTCCCCACTGGCTTTCATGCCTTGATATTGTCACATGAACAGTAAACAATGCATTTGCATAATGTGTAACTTGACCGAGCGGGATGTTGCACAGAGACACGAATCTCCGAGGCAAAACTTTTAAAGCGGCTTTTCACAGACACTGTACAGCCGTGGAGTGTTGCCTGTGATGCTGCAGTGATTTATTAAAATCAAGTGCGTGTGCTTGGATGTCGGGCGCTGCTGGGAGCGTCGCCGGGCCCAGGTGGCTCCTGTTGTTTCTCCCTCTTAACAGAACCATTAGTGGCTCCAATTCCACCCATCAAATATCCCTTTCCTCATTACATGACAAGTAAATCTTGCATTAGGTATGGAAACATGGACGTAGTTCTCATTAAAAATTAAATGACGGCAATCAACAATCCACGTTCACTTCTGTCAGACATCTGCAGACCTGTCCGACATGAAAAGTTTGATAGATTCCTTGTACTTCTGCGAATCACTCAGAACATCGCTTTGAATAGATCCTGTATCCCATGCTATAACACATAATACATTTCTAGAGTACTGAGTTGACTGAATGCAAGATGCTTGGAAGATATGAGTGAATAATCAAGTACAGTATTCAAAGCAAGGGTGTGAAACGTTACTGCAGAGGTCCAAGTGTTTCCAAAGGATTTTCATCCACATGGACTACGAGTTAATTTCAGCAATTAGTTCATCTTTAACCAGAGGGTGAGAAAAAATAAGTGCCATCAGCTGGTCTAGTGTTTGGTTGGAATGAAATCATACATACCCCGAGTCCTCACCGGTACATGATTGCCCGGCTCGCGCTCCCCTCTAACCAGCAATGAGGACTGAATCGCTTTGTAAATTTCCCCGGGGACTTTCTCTGCCTTGACGATTTAGTGGTGGAAAGTGGTTGAATCAGATTTGGGGGAGAGACAAAGCATCCATTCCACTCTGCTTCTTTTTACCGAGAGCGATTACCCCCGGAGGCATGCAGCGTGGACAATGCCAACCTGATCAGGAACAAACAAATCTGCCCCCATCTTTAATAACACGGGCATTGTGCCTAATGTGAAGGATAAACACGGATTCAGAAGGTGCCAGTCTCCTACCTGGCACTCTGAAAGTTCACTGTCGCTTGAAGGATAAAGACGCACCACAAGGCACCAATTACCCTCTCCCTCCTGTCATTTGTCTCTTAAAGAAATGACAGAAGTGCCTTTTGTGCAAGTAATTGTTCTATGCCACTGCAGATTGCAATCTTCCAACTGAGTTCCCTTTTCTTTTCTAGAATTGTATACATGAGTGTACATTTCCTGGTATTCCTCAGTGAAAAGAAAGCCACTCTTACCGCTGCTCTTGTGTCAGAGCTACGGCTCAATAACATGCATCGATGTGTGCTTGAGTCGCTGTTGAAATCCGATGGCCTGTTTTGGTCACACAAGCATCTTTCGTTGTGTCGCTTGTACTCTATTATGGAGGTTGAATGTGTATCAGATGATGCGTGTTCTCTGTTTGGTCTTTGTTCACGGAGCGCTATCTCAGGTTCTTGTGGAAATCCAATATAAATGCAAATCCAGTCACCATTAATGCATTTTAAAGGGCTCAAATCAGCATTGCACTGTAATCAAAGAAGCGAGATGGGGGCTGTTATTTAGAATAATAATAAAAAATGGAAAAAAACTGTTATGAAAATGCATAGCTCTGATTGATCGCACATTGAATAGAGAGGGTTGATAGAGTCACTCTTGTCACTGGGCCAGGGCAAAACAAAACATCAAATATCTATCTAAGAAATTGAACAAAGTCCTCTAATGACCTGTGAAAAATAAATTCTGAATCAAATGAAAATCAACATGGTGCCAAAAAGCGGACATGTCTTTGGACTTGGTTGAATACATGCTAACAGTGAATTAATCATCCAGAATCTGAAACATTGTGTGCTCCATAAGTATGATAACATAGTGGAAAAGCCAGTCTCATTAAAAAAGGAAACTGAGCCAATGTACCTTTTACGGCACTGTCTCAGATAATTGGAAAGCCGATGGTATAATGTCTGTTATCATGGCACTAAATTACAGGCTCATTAAAACCTAGTACATATACACTGTACATACAGTATGCTACCGACATCACATTAATTGTCTTTCTGTCCTCATCTGACACAGATTATCTTTTGTGTTAATACTATTAGCTTTTATAACATCTGACTGATGCAGCAGTTGAATCTGCTTTTCTTATGACTAATGTTGTGTCCACTGATTTCTCAACTGTATAAAATAAACATGTTTTTGTGAAGCTAATGGCTAACAAGGTAAAAAGTCAACAGCCTCTGGTGGTGGTCACAGAAAGCTCCTGCAGAACCGGGCACTGATTGACAATGACACGATGTACTTTACAACTGTCACAGTAAATTCTTGGAGAATGTAGTTTTACACAATGTTTACTGATGAGCATATAAACATTATGTAGTGAAGATGCTGAAACAATTTAAATAAAGGGTATTAAATGTTTTTTCGTTATAGAAGGTGTATGAATTCTTGAGTTGTGGTTGATAAATGGGTTGCAAGGACCTTTGATCCCAAATTCTAATCAGTTCATCCACGTTCGTGCAAGTGAACATTTGTGCCGAATTTGCTAAAGGCGTCCCAGACATATTAAGTTCATAGTGCAAAAAGAGGCCAGTGACCTTGATCTTTATCATATTCTAATCTGTTCATCCTTTAGTCCAAGCAAATCTGTTTGGACCAAATGTGAAGACATTTCCACATGGTGTTTCTTCCTTTCATAAGAGTGGGACGGACAGAAAAGCCATAAAAACATGTATTTCCATTGACTCTATGATAACTGTCATACTTTGACATATGGATATTCAAAATGGACCTTAGTCCCTCACCTAACACCACTGCTTCATCAACCCTGCACGTCATGTAAACTTGGACAGGCATGACATGGTTATATTTTATTCCAAAACATTATGCACAACTCTAACTGAACATTTCCATCATGAATTAATTATCCCTA